GCGGGATTTTTCTCACCTTCTGGAAAAACACAAGCAAACCCTCTCCCTTGGGTTAAGAGTGGCTCAGGGCTCTTTCAAGCCCTGGTTAGTGGATCTCTCCACCGGACCAGGGGGAGAGGTGTTGGTACGTCCCTGAGGCCTCCCCAATGTTTGAAAATGGGAGGAAGACCGTCGGGGGCAAAATGAAAATAATTGAGAGTTAATAAGGCCTGTTGTAATAGTTGTTGGGGCGTGCCAGTATTTCCCCCTTCTTTTTCTTTTTGAATCTGGGTTTTTAGTTCTTTGTTCTGTCGTTCTACTATGGCTTGTCCTTGTGGGTTATATGGTATGCCAGTAACGTGCTTGATGTTATGTTTTGTGAGGAATTGCTGAAATTGCTGGTTTAACTTCTTATTTGTATTGAATCTTAATTCTTGCTGTTTTTTTGAATATTCTGGTTTAGCTTAAGAACTGTCTAGCTACCCTGTTCTGCCAGGCTTGGAGATTGAAACCTTATTTTCTTTTAATATTTCTCTTTTCCTTCTCATTACATACACAACCTTCACAAATTTCACACTTTCAAATTAGCCTTCAAACCTTCTTTCTATGTTCTTCAAAAATGCATAACCATGCCTCAGACCTTCCATTAAGTATGTCTCTTACTTTCAAGAAAGTATACATACTAAGAGCTGGCGAATTAAAACACATCTAGCAATCAATGTTTCAGTATTGTATGCTATTTTAAAATACTTAGATGTTTATCATTTAACCCAGCAATGCTTCATTTTGGAAAATTATGTATAGGTATATGAGGTTGGAGAAAATGCAGGGGAGGGAGGGAGCAGGTCGCGCAGCCTGTTCCCAATTTAATTTAACTAGAACTTTAAACTTTTAGCTGGCAAGTTAAACATTCAGCATTTCTTTAGATTAATAAAAGTAGGTGCTTCCTTTCTTGTGTAATTTTAAGTATATTGTATTAGTCTAATTTAGTATTGGAAGGGTTAAAGAGAAGAAAACTGGACAGAGATAAGTTTGTCTGCTAGAGGCTAGGGTCCTCGCATATCTTAGATAAGCAAAAATTAACAAAGAACTTTCTCTCCCTGCTCTCCATGGCAACGCCCCCCCCCTTTTTTTTCTTTGCATTAACCATTTGGATATTGGGGATATTGTTGCAGATTTGGTGGCATTTGCTGCAGCTGTGGGGTTAACATTCACAGGAAAGAGTCTAGGGGTCTCTAGCCCTAAAGACTTCTTTGCTCTATCTCTCTGGCTACACAAGGATTGATATATTCCCGTCCATGGATTATCATCCGTGTCCCCCACAAAAGGATTACTTGGGGGCTGCTGGGCAGTTAAACTTTTTGTTCAGTCTGCGAGGGGAGCAGGGGGGTGACTCCGGCAGGAAGCCTCCTGGTGAGACTCCCCTGCTTTCACCTCGCTAGAGGTTTTTTTCTGTCTCAGTTTCAGCCTTCCTTGAGCTTTGAGAAACTACTTTAGGCTTGTTGAAACAGCCCAGGAATCTGCAGGGGCATAGGGCTCTGGAGGGTAATAGGGAGGTAAAGGGTCTTCTGTTCCCCCGCCCGCACCTCTGGTGGCGGAGAGCCAGGGGTTAAATGCTATTAGGATATCCCAGAGCTTTTGTAGCTCCTTTTCTGTTACTTTTACTCACCTGCTCTGTAACAACGCATGGAGTGCCCGAGACTGAGGGGCTCGGGCTGAGGTGGGAAGGTTACCCATTGTTACAGAGGGGCACTCACCCAACCTGAAGCTTGCCGGGGTCTCTGTTTCTGGCGCCAGAATGAAGCAGGGGGTCCCTCGGGGGTGAGGCCGACGGAGTCCTAACGAAGCATGCCCGACTCCAGAGACCAGGTTCAGTGACACAGACCTAAGTTTATTGTGTAAGTGCAGCAACAT